ATTCTAAGTTTAAACTTGATCATCTTCTGTAGTTGTCTAGTCTGAGCATGAAGAATTAATAGAACTTCTTTATTCATCTCACTCAGACACTGCTTTTCAAGAATCTTGCTTACTTTTTCAAGTTTCTGTATTTCAAGAACTTGTTATTTCTCTATTTCTTCTTTCTTTCTTCTCTTCAGAATTTCAATCTCAGAAATAGTATTTGAGAAAGCATCTTTTTTCACATCAACTGAGTGTATTTTTAAACTCATTATTCTTACTCAATGAAAAGTTGATCAGACTATTTCAATTGAGATATTTCTAAGTCTGTTTTCAATTGAAAAGTTGATCAGACTGTTTCAAAAGAAGAATAAAAGACTTTTATATATAAAATATCTGATTTTTTTTCATACTAGTTCAGTAACTAGGTTAGATTTTTGAAGAGAATCTAATAAACTAAAATTGATTTTTGAGATAAATTAATAAAATCTTTATAATCTCTTTCTTGAGATACAGTGAGAAAGAGTATGATATCAATTGATAATAAATCAGATAATATGACAGTTTTTGAGAGAAAAACTGACAAAAAATAAATCAATTTTTTACAGAGAAATTGATTAAAACTATTCAATTTTATTCTAAATCATTCAATTCTTCTCACACAACAAGTGTGCAACTCAAATCAGTTAATAAAGAGTGTAAAAAAGAATTAAGTATTAATAAAAGCTCTTCAGTCACTGAAAAAGTAATTCTTACTTAAAAGAATATGAAATTATAACAGAAAACAGCTCTGTTTTTTATTCTTTATAAGAATATTGTATAAAATTCAGAGAAAAACATCTTACTTTTTCAAGAGAAGTAAAAAACTATTTCTAAGATCTTTTTTTTTGCATTAACTGCTGCAGAAGAATGAGATAGAAACTGCTAAGATATACACTACTATATACTCTCTATCAAGACTTTCTCTCTTCAGAGTCTTAATATTATAGAGAATATAAGTCTGTTTCTATATAATAATATAAATATTGTCAGCAGGATGTAGAGGAACTGGTTATTTATATCTCAATATAAAAGACTTTGTCAATGATTATATTAATATAGAGTTAATTCTCAAATTCAATAGAAATCTAGTATTGCTCTTCTCAATTCCTTGCAGAATCTATTGAATATTGAGATATTAAACTAGATTTAATATATCTCACTATACAGGGATCAAAGACTCAGTCAGATCTTGAGATATACTGATTTTATAGTTGTCATATCTGCTGATTATATATCAAGTACAGTTGCTGAGGTATCTTTTTATACTTTTCTGTCAGAGATAGACCACATTGAGAGGGGTGGTACAAGGGTGAGACTTGATGTTGATGTCTAGATACACTGAAGACAGATCACAGAGATTGCACTTCAGAAGTGACTGTTGATTATGTATTTAATATTATTGCTAAGATATCTTTTTGTATTTTTCTGCTGAGGATGGGCCAGATTAGAAAGAGCAGTATGAGGGTGAAACTTGGTGTTGGTGTTTTGAAACATCATAGATGAACAGGGTTTTCACAGAGATCACTTCTCAGATATCTCCACAACTACAGATCAGGGATCTTCCAAAATCGAGAAGATTGGTGCATATGGCTATGTCTCTTCACCTTACAATTTGTATGGCAATTTGGCCCGGGGTTGTGGTGTGGTAGGGGAGAATGGGGGATAATCCCACACAGGAGTTTCGAACGACGTCTGGTTCACATTTGGCTGGATAACTCCACCACCACACGGGGTATGCGGTCGGCGATGGGGTCAAAATGCTTGTATGATCGAGGGCTTTTCGATGGATCTATCGGCGGGTTCTTATTCGAAAAATCGAGCGAGTTCGTGGTGGAGCGGTTGATCGGATAATGATTATTGATAACACTCATGAAACAACTAAATACATTCTTGTGCAAGTTTATTCTTCACTTTCTCATGAAAACTACACTTCTCTGATATACTGTGATCAGAGATATTAAACTGACTGATAATTCCATGTTTTATAATCATAAGTTTCTTGATTATTTCTTCTTATAATTGTCTCTGACAATAGTAATAAATATCTCAGCTTGAGTTGAACTTTCACTTCATTCTCATCTCTGTCAATGAAATTATCAGAATATCATATATCATCAGTGCAACAGTTGAATATATACTCTTAACAATTTTTTATAACTCTAGAATTGATTTGATGTGTAAATTTATTAAATCATCTTGACAATAGTGATTAAATTCAGTTTTATAAGTATATAGTTTTGTCTGAATTTTAGTTGCAATCAATGTATACAAGTTCTGTTTCAAAGTTAGTATTATAGTTCTATATAATATAAAGTATTATCAAAGATTGTTACTTACTAGAGAATTGTATTTCACTGTCTTCACATCTCTAACATCTGCTTATTCAAATCTCTGATAGTTGACATTGTAGTAGTCTCAGACTAATTTAATATATAAGTCTCATTTCTTCTCTGTTCAATCTTGAGAAGTGTAGATATTAACTTGATAAGAGAGATCTAGTAGAGCTGCTATAGTATAATACTCTGTAAAAGATTGTTCAGTTTTGCTGTAGTAATATGCCAGTTTATCTCTTACAGTAATAATAGTCTATACTATAGCATTATCTTAGACTGAATTTCTTTTTGAGTGATTCAACTGCTTCTTAAGATGAGTAAATAAACTGTTATACACTTATCAGACTGACTGCAGCATTGATGTACAAGTGATTGAGACTGTCTTTATTATCTTATAAAACTGAAACAGTAAATCAATCACATGTTTCAACTGAGTTCACTTTATATCAGAAAGTTTCAATATCTGAATCTTTTTCTAATCAGAGTATTGCACTCAATGATCAATTATCTGATACAATTGAAGAGTGTAAACAGTTATCTTATATATTGAACTTCACTGTGTTCTAATATTCTGTATTATATTCAGTGATGTGACTGATTTATTTATTTATTAAATATCATGAAATTGTTGTTATTATTTAGAAGAGATATAAATTATATTAGTAATGTTTTAAATCTGTGATATTTAAATTATTAGTCAATCTATTTAAAATTAACAGTAGTATTATTAAAAAGCATTATTAAAAAGCAATATTAAAAAGTATTATTAAAAAATATTATCTTTTATAAAATGAATATAAAAGTTACTTGAGTAATTACTTTTATCTTATTCTTATTTTAAGAATCAGTTATTTCATTATTCTTTATCTTAATATTAAGATTCTTTATCAGTGTTTGCATCACAAGTTGAATCATATAAGTAATACAGAGAATATGACCTTATTTACTATTTCAGAAATACAAAGTCAATTTTTGCTTCAAGCTGTTCATTATAGTATAGTTATTTACAGTATTATCAGTTGTAATTATAAGAAGACTGAGACTAATATCTTAATAGTCATTTTTAATCACAGTCATTAATATCTCTACTATATAAAACTCAGTATAACTACTGATCAATAATTCAAATTCAGTTAATATCTCTTGATAAGTTCAGTTCTTATCAATATAATAACATATAACTCTTATAAATACAAGATTGTTTGTACTAGTTTATATATTCACTGTAAGAGACACTCTTCAATGATTCTTCAACTCTGATTCTAGATATTGTATATTGACTTTGTAGTATATCTCAAGGTTGAACTGAAGACAGAATTGATGTAGAATATGAAGATTTGAATTAAGTATTTGAAGAAGTGTTCAGAATTCAGAGTTTTCAATTGATTAAAGAGAAAGATTCAGAGATATATATATATAAAGTAATTATTCACAGAAGTTATCAGATGAGAGTTATGAAATCAGAGTACTGATACATGATTATTTTCACATGATTTTCTTCAAATTAGAAAGTTAGTGTTATTAAAAATCATTATCTGATAGAGTAACTTACCAGCTCAGTAGTAATTTTCTAATTATTTTTCTTTTATTATCTGCATTCTGATGACTTCAGATGTCAGAAAATTTCTTTAGAATCATGATTAATTTATAATGAATATTTCTGAATGAAGTTGCAGTGATTATAACAGAGAGATAACTCTTCAGTAATCTATAATATAATCTGTTAATAATTATTTCATAGTTTATCTCAGTGTTTGTGTTAAGTTTTTCATAAATTTCATGATCTGGAATCAGATGTGAAGAATGAAGTAATTATTCATTATAATTGAAAGAGAGTATTCTATGTTAAATTATAAATAATATAGACTTTGTGATTCACAGTGATTTCTTGAAGAGTTTATGAATTTTCAATAGAAGTAAAAGAAGTGAAAGAAGTGAATTCAGAAGACATAATAATAATTTAAGAAAGATAATAATTTATTTTCACTAACTGATCACTGATGTGTATGAGAAGAATTAATATAAGAGAAAATAATCTTCTTTCTTAGCTTAGTTATAATTTTAGTACTAACTCAGATCAAATATTATCAATGTATAAAAATAAATAAATAATCTTAATTAATCTCTGTCATATTTCTTAAACTATATTAATATTATGAAAGAGAGTATTATCAAATTATATTATCAGATAATATCATTAAAAATATATTAATATTATAAATATCAATATTGAAAAAATGTTGATACTTATACATTATAGTGATATGATAGTTGAATATATATATATATATTATTTCTGATATTGATAATTGATTATAACTTGTACAATAATTTTTGAAAACTTAAAATTAATTTTAATTATTAACTAATAGTTACAAATTTATAACTAATTAATATAAAAAGAAAAAATCTTTTTCTATTTATTATCTTTCTTCTCTTTCTTATTTTTCTCATCATTCTTTATAATTCACTTCTTATTCTCATTCTTCTTCTTCTTCTTATCTGAGATAATAATCATCTCAAAATCTTTCTCTGCTGCTTTCTCAGAGAAGAGTTCTTGCTGCTCTCTCTCAGTCAGGTCAATCTGCATCTCAAAATCCTGCATTTTCTGATCTGCTGTCTCAGGTTTCATCTCAGTAGTAAGCAGATTGACATACTCAGAGAGCAGAGCTGTCTTCTCAATATTCTGAATCATGAAGTGCATTTGAGATCTGAATAAGATCTCAATTTGCTTCTTCTCTGTCCACTTCTGCTAATCAATTAGAGAACAGAAGTATTATTAAAAATCATTATCTCTTAATAAAAAACTTATCAGTTTTAACTTCTTTATCTCTTACTTTAATATCTTCTCAATCTTCTTCTGCTACTGCTTATTTATAGTAATACTCTTCTTCTCTCTCTCTCTCTTCATCTTAATCTCAAATCATTCTCAGAACTTCTTCTGATCTCACTGCTACTGTATGAGACTCTTCACTATCTTCTTTTTTAATCTCTCACAGGCAGTGTCATTCATATTATTTCTATACTTAGTTCAGTCTAAATCTATCAGAAGTATTACTTAAAATTATTATTATTCTACTCTCTTACAGAGTCTCTTCAAGATATTATAACATGTCTTACAATCTGTCTCTCTGTGCTTAAACACCTTCTTCTTCTCTCTCTTCAATCTGTGACAGTGCTCACACGCCTTGATGATTCACAGAACCGCAGAATATTTGAAGAGAGATAATATGATTAATTTTAATAAGTGTTAAGAGAGAGATGAAGACAGGCAATAATATAATAATAATGATGCTAATGATGATGATGATGATGATAGTAATAATAATAATAATAATAATAATAATGATGATGATGAAAGAGAGAGTGCATTGAAATATATTATTAACTTATTAAACATAAAGAGATAAAGAAACTATTGACCGCTTTCAAAGATGTATAGAAACAGTTACAGTGTTGTATAGTAATATTATCTTCATTTAATACATACACTATTAATATTCTTTGTATGCATTTATTACATAATCTATATCAGAAATACATGCAGAAAATAGATCTTTGTTACTAGAGAGAATGATTACAGTGATTCTCTATTTTTATATTATAAAGATAAGTTATTCTCATTTCTTTCTTCTCTCTTTTCTCTTCTTCTTCAATTTATCACTAAGTTCAAGCTAGTATGAAAACTATTAAAACACTCTTAGAAACTCTTAAATTAAAGAGTATAGACTAATCAAATTTTAAATATGAATGAATCAAATTATATTTAATAATACTAATTATTCATTTTCTTCTCAATAAAATAACAGTTACATCTTTTTTCCCTCTCTCAAACAAAACATGATCTGTGAAAAGTGAGTATCACAAAGAATTATAATGATCAACACAGTCTTAGCATGCAGAACTGTATATATACAGTGCATACTGAACTGAGAGACTGTGTGAATTATAAACTAATGACAGCATCTCAGAGAGAGCTGTGTAGTGTGAAAAAGCTATAACTCTCAGTTATATACACAGAGAGTGAATCACTGCAGTAAGTGTATATACATTGTATAAAAGTAACACTTTTTAATAATACTCAGTCTCTGATATCATGAAAATAGAGTCTCTTCATGAGATTCATTTTTATCAGAAGTTGAGAAATCTTTATATTTTTCAAGATCATTTTCACATATCTTGTCCTAATGAATTAATGAGAGAAATCATTGATTTCAGTATTTCTTTTCTTAATATTATTCAAGTGACAGCAGAGTTCACTCTGATCACACTTTTTTAAGTTGCATATTTTTCTAATTATTCACATTTATACAGATATATACTGATGATTTATAATTATATTAGATAATAACTTATTA